AAAAAAAAAAAAAAAAGATGCGAGAAAACTTTGCAAATAACACAGAAAATTAATATTATCTATATTAGTGTGTAGATTTCTCGAAAAGATAGTCCCAAACAACTTACTACAAGTCAGTAAATCCCGGGTTATACGAGTAAGGGTTAAGAATTAATCTCAAGCATGCCTCAGTTCGTTCATAAAAAGGTCAAAAACAAAGAAGATTCGAACCTGCTGAAACGGTGGCAGCTGCAGCAAGTCCCTGTCCTCGGCGGTGGTGACTTCGAAGGTCGGTGCAGGTTGCGGTGGATACATGTTGCCCTTGCCGGGATACGAGGTGCTCCTTCGAAATTTCACGGGACTGATGCAGGAGGGGTGAGCCGCTGGTCCCGGATGGCCAGGAAACGTGGGACTCGGTTTCCTGCCTTGTAGCCCGGCAGCGGCCGCAACTGCCGCAGCGGCGTGCAGCGACGAGTGCAAGGGTGGAAGATTCGGTACCGATCGGCCACGATTCCAGGGTGAAAGGCCGGGACTCGCCACCGCTGCAGCTTGCGGTCCAGCGCTCCATTGTTGAGGCGCTTGCGGCCCACCGGACCAAGCCGCGTAACCTTTCCCAGGCAGATAAACACCCGGATGCGAGGTGGCTGTCGGTTGTTGCTGGTGCTGCTGCTGCTGTTGCTGTTGTTGTTGCGGCGGTTGTTGCTGCTGCTGTTGTTGCTGCTGTTGCTGCTGTTGTTGCTGTTGTTGCTGCTGCTGGGCGGACGACACCTGAAGTCCGTGTCTCGTAGTGGGAGCGGTCGCGGTTCCGTGCTGTTGCGAGAAATTATGACTAGCCGTGATAGCGCGACGCGCACCGGCCGACACGGTCGGGCCGGTACCAGCGAACAGCCCGGTCGGACCACCGGTCGGAAAGTTCTGAAAGGCGGCGATAGATCCGTTGACGGGTAACGCGTGTAGACCGGTGTCGTCCGGGGCGGACCATAAACTCGGCACTCGGCCCGCCTCGGAGAAACTCTGTAACGCCGAGCTGGTGCTGCAAGCGATCTCCTTCTCGGTGGAGGAGGGCGTCGTCGGCGTGATAGCGATACTCTCGACCTCGACCGTGTCTTTCGTCTTCTCGAGTCCGGCGACGGCCTCCAGGCCGGTGCTGGGCGATAGCGGCGCTGCCTTGCCACTGGCTTGCTTCTCGATCAACAGATCGTCCTGCATCGTTGACGTGGTTACGGTTACGCCGGTATTCACGGTGTTGCTGATAATCGATGGCTTGGTCGTGCTGGACAAACTAGCGGAGAAGAGACTGGTCGCGCTAAAGTCCCCCATAAATCGCCAGGGTTGCAAGATCCACGAGTATCCTGCCGATCGTAACGAGGCCCCGTTCGCCGACCAACTCCTTTTGGATCCCCCTGTCGAACGATACGGATTTTTGTTTTAGGATCTCTGTGGGCTTCCGATCTCGGGACTTTTTCGGGATCGCGAGAGAGAAACTTCACCGGTGCCGGGGGTTCGGGGTAAATCGAGTCGTTTGTGCTGTCGGCACGGACGTCGTCGACCACCCGTCGACCAGAGCTCGCGAGACAGCTATCGATCCACGGCGTACGCGTAAAAACAGCCACGGAAGCCCGGAAGCTGTGCGAACTACACCGATATTTGGGTTCTCTTATTTTCGCCGTTTTCCTCGATT